TTTTAAAAGGATGAATTCCAGATCGTCTCCAGCAGGAGGGTGGAGCTGTAAGATCCAAAAAACTAAAATTAAATTAAATTAAAAAAGAGAATTTTTTACATGAGGATTTTAAAATGATGAATTCCAGATCGTCTCCAGCAGGGGGGTGGAGCTGTAAGACCCGAAAAACTAAAAGGAAAAATAAATAAATTGAATTAAAAAGAGAATTTTTCTAGGTGAGGATTTTTAAATGGTGAAGGGGCTTTGGAAGTAAAGTTGGTGCCAGGGTGGTTGGGGAATTTGGGGGTGAATTTTCCTTTGGTAACTGGAGGGAATTTGGGCACCAATCCCAACCTCACCTTTGGGAATTGTGCAGGAATTAAGGACAGAAAGAGAACAAACAGGACAGGGACTAAAGAGAGAAATTCCCCAGGAAATTGGAAAAAAATTGGAAAAAAAATTAAAAATTGAACTTTGAAATAAATCCCTCAAGAAAGTTGGTTGGAAGAGCAAAAATGTCATTAAATTGTGACCAGGTATGGAAATTAAACTGGTATTGAAATTAAACTGAGATTTGAAATAAACTGATATTTAAAATAAACTGATATTTGAACAGGTATTGAAATTCAACTAAGATTGAAATTCAACTGAGATTGAAATTCAACTGAGATTTCAATTCAATTGAGATTTGTATTAAACTGAGATTTGTATTAAACTGAGATTTGTATTAAACTGAGATTGAAATTCAACTGAGATTGAAATTCAATTGAGATTTGTATTAAACTGAGATTTGTATTAAACTGAGATTTGTATTAAACTGAGATTGAAATTCAACTGAGATTTATATTCAACTGAGATTTATATTCAACTGAGATTTATATTCAGCTGAGATTTATATTCAACTGAGATTTAAAATAAGCTGAGATTTATATTAAACTGAGATTTAAATTCAAGTGAGATTGAAATTCAACTGAGATTTGTATTAAACTGAGATTTATATTAAACTGAGATTTCAATTCAACTGAGATTTCAATTCAATTGAGATTTATATTAAACTGAGATTTATATTAAACTGAGATTTGTATTAAACTGAGATTTAAAATAAGCTGAGATTTATATTAAACTGAGATTTGTATTAAACTGAGATTGATATTAAACTGAGATT